TGATTACTGTAATTCCCCTGCATTTGGTTTGCTTTGTTTGATGGTAACCATTAACCACTGGATCAAAAATCAGCTACACTATTTATTTCCAGAACTTCCTCCTTGGTAACACCTGTCCGGCAGCAACTCTATTAAGTATCATGCTTTATAAAATATTAATTCTCGCCTCCCAGGTAATCCGCAGCCTCACGGCCTTATCAACTGATTCGCAGCGTATTTTTGAGGTTCTCCTCCGTCTATTTGCCCGTCTGTTCTCTTGTGCACCAGGGCCCAAAATCATAGCAAGTGTGTCCTTTTTAATCCTGAATTACGCATTTTTGCTGTTTTGTTCTGTTTTTACCATATTGACTATTTTGTTTTGTCTCCCACGTGCAGTGACTATGAAAGATGGTTTATTTGTGTTAACTAATAGTTAATTATTAGATACGATTATGAGTGTTGTAACTGTGTCATCCATATTCAAGATTCAAAGCTTTATTGTATTATCCACAGTGAGAAAATATGTTTCCCTGTACGATGAGAGGATGATATTTCAGCCCACACTGGGTGCTAAAAGTAGATAACAGAGAATAACAAGATAAAAGAAGCTTGACAAAATATAATAAATGAAAATCAAAATTTCAATTGGAAAAAATAACTGGAATTAGAAGTTGGGTAGACTATGTACACGTGTGCTAAAATTCTTAATTTAAACTCTAGAATATAAGTCCCATTAAGTCATCACACACTGGTGAAATTCATCTCTGCAGTTGACCCATCCTCGTGGGGAGCGGTGAGCTGCAGCTGTGGCCACGCTCGGGAACTATTTGGCGGTTTAACCCCCCCCCCCCCAATCCAACCCCATAAAGCTGAGTGTCAAGCAGGGAGGTCTCATTGTTAAGGTCTTTGGTATGACCCGACCCAGATTTGAACCGCGATCTCCCTGTCCCGGGGCAGACACACAACCACTATAGAGCTCCGGGAGTTGACGTCACTTCTCCCGGCATGCGACAGTTCAAATCGAAACGGCGCCATATTGGCAGGCAGAAGCCCGCAGCTGGACTATTTATTATTGTCAGAAAACTCAATCAGACGGGAAATATGGTAGATTCCTGTTGGGCCCCAGGATGCAGAACAGACGCGGACACATAAGGAATGAGCCATCTACAGGATTCCCCAAGATCCGGAGCACCGCAAACGTTGGATCATTGTAATAAAACGCACTAGTGACCGGGTTAAACTGAAGCTGTGGGACCCCGAGAGTAAAGGTTTTTGCTTATGCAGCGACCGCTTCATATCAGGTACTTAAACCAACGTTTCCTCGACTGTGTATGGTATTTATTTTAAATGCTTTTATTATAATTCTTAGTGGGCTTCCTAAACTTATTTTGGCGTGGCTTTTTCTGTCTTATTACTCACAGCAACAAGTAAACATCACGTAAAACGTTGCCTCGTGAGTTCTGCGTGCTGCCGTTTACGTGTTTTATGATGACAGCAATTAACCGGCTAAGCTGTATTTAATTTTTAAGCAATGGTTGATCAATTGTCAGATCACACATAAAAAGCACTTTGGATTGCTATTATCTGTCTCACCAAGACAGATCTCATACAGATCCTGAGACGCTCCTGCCTGACATATTTATTTATTCACGGAAAAAAATCAGACTAGTGATTTCTCTTGGCGTTCAGTTTATACATTCAAACAGCACAGCACTCTATTTAAACTTCTTACATGTAAATCTGTTATTTGTCCATCCATCCATTTTCATCCGCTTATCCGGTGTCGGGTTGCGGGGGCAGTAGCGTCGAGAGTCCCAGACTTCCCTCTCCCCAGCCACTTGGGCCAGCTCCTCCGGGGGAATTCCAAGGCGTTCCCTGGCCAGGTCCGGTAAGAAGTCCGCTCCGACAGCTTCTGGCGTTTTTAAAAAGTATCCCAGGGGCACGGTAAGGGTCGGAGATGTTTAGTCTATTTACTTTCTGACTATATAAAACGATTTCTTCGGTTTTGAAGTGTGAAGTAGACTCCGACGAAGTAAAATCCAAGCCGATCCCGTTCATTTTGTTTACCTTTGTTGCCTGCCAACATGGCGTCTACTCTCTGAGAGTCACGTGACGTCCGGAGCTCTATAGGTCAGTCATCCTTATCACAGAAACACACATTTAAAGTCATTTATCAAGCTATGAAGTAGTATTGGCAGTTTTTATATGTTTTCATGCCCAAGTTGTGGGTTTGAGAACAAATAAAATCATGCAATTCCTGCTAAATTAGATTTTTGTATGTAATTTTTTTTCAATAAATATAAATATTAGAGCAACATCTCAATTTCAGTTTCTTTAAAGGTGTACAATAAGACATAATTTCATCTCTGCCTCTCATCAGGACATCGTGTTTATTTCCTGCACAGCAGCATGGATTTTAATGTGATAACACATTCTCACAATCGCAGAAACACAGCTCATTAAGACAGAATGCATAGCCTCTTCTTAGAGGATTTTTCATCATTTCTATCAGCTGGGTACTTGACAGGTTCGTGGATGTATTTAATGAAAAGCAATCAGCATAAAGCCGGAGAATCGTTGATTAGATTATCCCTACAGCCTGTAGACTTTGTCTTAATTTGCAGCTGCAATTGTGGAACAAACAACAACATTGACCTTGGCTCGAGTCCGTCAGGATGGCAGACAAAAAGATAATTGTTCACTTTAAATTATTTTTTTATTCTATTAAACAAAAATCAGACGCTTAAATGGAGCATTTGGGGACACACAAGATTGGGCCAAGTGTTATAAATCAGAATGAGAAAAGTTTAATTAGCTGTGAAAATGTCTTTAAAAAAAAAGACTTCATTACTTGTTGAGTTTAGAGTTGTTAAAAATTGCCAGTAAATGCATGAATGATTTTTTTAAACAGCTAATGGTTACAATTAAATAAATAAATGGACCTGTGAAAGTTTTTTTTCAAAAGTTATTCTATGGTCTATACCAGACATATTTATGATATTCATTGCTTAAAATCCCTCTCACATAAAGTGATCTTAGCAGTTTTATTCTTGACATTTTCAGTACCTTCCAGAATGAACCTTTTCTAGGCTCTGTCACTTAAAGAATCATGTCCAGCAGCTGAGGACTGAAAACACCTTGTCAGAACCGCTTACTATTTCTAGAGGTGTGCCTCAGGGCTCCGTCTTGGGCCCAACTTTATTTTCTACCTACATTAATGATGTTGCCAAAACTGCTGGTAGTCCTCAGATCCACCTGTATGCTGATGACACCATTCTACACTCACCTGGTCCTTCTCTCAACTCTGCAGCATCTACTCTTCAGCTAAGCCTCACCTCTGTTGAACAGTCTTTTCACAACCTTCATCTCTGCCTTAATGCCAAGAAGACCATACCATACCATACGGCACAATATCTCAATCCAGAATAACTTCCTATCTCTGGCTCCTTCAAAGGCAGTTTGAAATCTGGGTGTTGTGATTGATCAACACCTGACCTTTAAAGATCATGTTGCCTCTGTTGCTCGTTCATGCCGCTTTGCGCTGTATAACATACGAAAGATCAGACCATACCTAACACAACATGCCACCCAGCTCCTGGTGCAATCTACTGTCATCTCCCACCTCGATTACTGCAATGCCCTTCTAACTGGTCTTGCAGGCTGTACTGTGAGACCTCTTCAAATGGTCCAGAACGCAGCGGCGCGTCTGGTCTTCAACCAGCCAAAAAGAGCACACGTCACCCCTCTGTTCATTGAGCTCCACTGGCTACCGCTAGCAGCACGCATCAAATTCAAACTGCTAACAGTAGCATACAAAGTCCGAGATGGTACGGCTCCCATCTACCTGAATCCTCTTGCAAAGGCTTACGTCTCGGCCCGGCCGCTCCGGTCATCACAGGATCGTCGGCTAGCAGTGCCTACACCACGCTCAGGACAATCCAGGCTCTTCTCATGCATCGTTCCACAAATGTGGAATGACCTTCCAAGCACTACCAGAACAGCGGCGTCCTTTTCAATTTTCAGGAAACTCCTGAAGACCCTGCTCTTCAGAGAGCATCTTCTAAACTAGCACCCTCCCTGCACTCGTCCCCCCTCTCTATCGTCCACTCCATGTTCCCTCCTCTCCATGACTGATGTCAAGTTGTTGTTGTTGTTGTTATTGTTGTTGTTAGCCTCAAGGGCAACATGCCGATTATCACTTGTAAGTCGCTTTGGACAAAAGCGTCTGCTAAATACATAAACATAAACAAGACCAAATGCATCATCTTTGATAGGAAAAACCAAACATCCAATCCCCCAAAAAACCTGCAGTGCTGATGGCTTTGCCCTGGATTATGTGACATATCTGGGCATCTGGCTGGATTCATCTTTATCTTTCACCACTCATATCAACAATCTGCAAACAAAAGTCAGAGCAAGATTAGCTCATCTTTTTCACAACAAAGCCTCCTTCAGGCATGCTGCCAAACACATACTTGTTAAAATGACAATACTACAAATTCTGGACTACGGTGACATCATCTACAAAATGGTTTCATGCTCTGCCCTAAAAAAACCGGACATTCTTTTTCACTCAGCCATCCGTTTTGTCACTAATACCCCCTTCCACACTCACCACTGTGATCTCTGGCCCTCCCTTCACACCCGGAGACTCCATCACTGGCTTCTTTTTGTCTACAAGACAATTCTAGGCAAGACACCTCTCAGTCCTCGCTTCTTCGCCCGATTGTTTTTAATCTCTTCCTGTTTAATCAGGTTTTGAAGTGAAAAATGAAAATCGTGTAAATAAACTATCATTGTTTCCTGACTTCCTGCTGTGTTTCTGCTCATATCAAAGACAAGAATAGCAGGTCTGTGATTAACAAATGCTGAGCAACCGGCCTGTCTGCTGATTAAGATGACAATAAGTGATCCTGCTGTTTGGAATTAGTCTCCGTTTTTCTAAACCGAGGTTGTTCAGCTGTTTGACCTTAACGAAAACCCCTTACAAGTTCCGAATTGTGTTTCTATGACCTGATCAGTCTGTCTGAGACTCCGCTGGACCACGCTGGGAGCCGATGAGAACTGTGATGAAATGAAAGGGAGGGACTGAATTCTGCAGGAAGCTTCAGGGCAGAGCCTCAAATCAATGAACCCGCTAGTTCACATTCAGCTCTCTGCTGACTGAAGTCCGCCTGCTTTACGCAGCAGACTGAGACTAAAACTCTGGGAACCGGGGCAGAATGATCAGATTTGGACTCTGGGCTTTTTTCTTTTAGTGGTTTTTTTTAAGACGCACTTTTTTTCCTGCTTTTTATGATGCTTTTCAATAACTTTGGTGATCTAGACTGGAAACACCGGCCCTAAGACGAGTTCCTCCTAACCCCGCGGTGCGTTCGGACTCCCAGAATGAATAACCAGTCGGTGACCGGGAGAATGGTCCCAACCATCCCGTCCATCATGTTTATTTTCGGGGTGGTTGGGAACGTCATTGCCATCGTAGTTCTGTGTAAAACTCGCCGAGAGCAGAAGGAGACCACCTTTTACACGCTCGTGTGCGGGCTGGCTGTCACGGACCTCCTGGGCACCCTGCTGGCCAGCCCGGTCACCATCGCCACCTACGTGAAAGGCTCGTGGCCCGGACAGGACCCGCTGTGCCAGTACTTCGGATTCACCATGCTCTTCTTCTCACTGGCGGGTCTCAGCATCATCTGCGCCATGTCGGTGGAGAGATTCATCGCCATTAACCATGCCTACTTTTACAACGACTACGTGGACCAGAGACTGGCCGGAAAGACCCTGATAGCCATCTACATCTCCAACGCGCTCTTCTGCGCGCTGCCGATCGTCGGTTTTGGCCAAGTGAAGAAACAATACCCGCAGACCTGGTGCTTTTTGGAGTGGCGGAGCAACAAGACCAGCGATGCCGCCTACTCGTACATGTACGCCGGCTTCAGCTCTCTTCTCATTCTCGCCACGGTCGTCTGTAACGTGCTCGTATGCGGGGCTCTGATCCGGATGCATCGACGCTTCGTGCGCAGGACGTCGCTGGGAACCGACCTGGGGCGCAACGTGGACCCGCGGAGGAGAGCACGCAGCTTTGGGCGTCTGGCTGGTGCGGAGATTCAGATGGTCATCCTGCTCATCGGTACATCGGTGGTGGTGCTCATCTGTTCCATCCCACTCGTGGTAAGTCTTCCTTTGGCTGTGACCATTACGCACGTTTTACGCACGGCCTTTTCAAACGTCTGTCAGGAGCAGAGACCCGTTTGGTTGAGCTAAAATATTCATATCAGGGTAAATGATTTGTAAATAAGATTATTTTAGTGTTAAATATAGTTTTCATGCTTGATACGCAGCTCAATCCACCCAGTAGCTTCTAAACACACAACTAAAGCTGTGGTAAATATTTTAACTAACTTTTCTCCTTTTTGCAGTCTCAGGTGTTTCTGAACCAGCTTTATAAGACTTCAGTGGAGCAACGGCTGGACATAAACCCTGACCTCCGGGCCATACGCTTTGCCTCCTTCAACCCCATTCTTGACCCTTGGATCTACATCCTTCTCCGCAAGGCCGTTCTCCTCAAGCTCATTGAGAAAGTCAAGTGCCTGTTTTGCAAAATAGGAGCAAGAAGGCAGCAGATTCATGGGAACTTTCACTGCATGGATGCCCATCAGCTCTCTTCAATCATCTCTAACCAGGACTCTCCTTCATTGGTGTCCCACGACCCTGGAGACATCACCAGCAACTCCCAGTCCTTCCTCTGTACTTCAGAGGGAAGTGAGCTGCACACTGGAAACGGTCCAAAGGCAAATAAACAACAAAATTCAGTCCGAAACTCAAAAGCCTCTTATTCCTCTGAGAGTGGCAGCAGTGAGGCTCAGACTCAAGAAGGGACAAACACGGCACATCCAAAAGATCCAGCTCTGCAGGTGACTCTAAACTCAGAAACGACGGCGGAGAAATGCATCTGAGTCCTGTCGTTTTACCTCTGATAAGATTTTAACTCCCAGGTCGAGCACATGGGGGTGGAAAGGTGCAGCTACCTCAGAGATGACAAACTCTGAATGCATTTGCAGATTCTGACAGATGTTCTGCAACAGCCACTGATGGAGAAGTCGGTTCTTTCTCATTTTAATCTGCTGTGTGCATGTGAAAGTGAACTGGGGAGGGGGCAGTAAATCAGAAATAATGAGTCACGAGTTAGTGGTCGTTACAGTAAAGAAGAACAGCTGTCAGGTCAAAGCAGTTTATTGTGACTTTGTGTAATGAGTGTTTTTTTTTTATTTTTGCTGCACAAACTTAAAATTTGCGAAGGTATTTAATCTTACGTCGAGGGTACAAAGAGTTACACCTTTCAGGAAATGTGGTGGCGTCAGTGAAAATTAACGTGTTGTGATGCATAGCCTACGTAATTCGTTCATTCTTCTCCAGGAGAAGGTTCTGTATTAAATCCCGTTTTCGGGATGCATTCCGGTTGAGTATTTGTGTTCGGGATCATTTTAAAGGTTATATCAGTGTTTTGTGTTCATCAAGTGCATGGACGTAGTTTTGACTTTAGAAGTGGAGGACACAACTGGCATGATGTACGTATAAAACTACAACTTAGAGGCTCTTTTATGCAAATGTCAGGAATGCAGAACTGTCAAGTACACAGGTGGAAGGAACGGCCAATCACACGTTAGCAAGCATCAGCAGAGCCAATATATGAGCTGCTGAACGGTTCTAATGGGAAACAGACTTCAACACAAGTGGTTGTTTTCCGCTTGGTCCTAGCATGGATGTAATTTGGGGTGGGGGGGGGGGCATGTCCCCCCACTTTTTCCCAAAGTCAAGTTTTGACCCCTGCACTTTTTACCATCCAAAAACAATATTACGCTATATTAAATTGACACTGGTTGAGCTCTAGGACCAAGCGGAAAACAACCGTTAGTGCTGAAGCCTGTTTCACATTAGAGCATACTGTAAAGATACCCCCCCCCCCCCCCCCCTTCTAAAGTGAAAATTACATCCATGGGTCCTAGTGCTAAACCAGTGTCTATTTAATATAGCGTGATATTGTTTTTGGACGGTAAAATGTGCAAAAAACAAAAATTGACTTTGGAAAAACTGGGGGGTGCGTGTCCCCTTGTCCCCCCCAAAACTACGTCCATGATCAAGTGCAGTTCTGCAACTCAGAAACTTTAGAGATTCAGCAAAAACGATAAAAGGAAAGAAAATGTATTCACTGGGTATGAGAATGTATCAGGACGAGCTGAAAATCAATGTTCCAATACAGTTTATAGTTTTTGTCATTTAAAACAATATTGACTTTAGAATTTAAAAAACCCTGAAAAGTTGCTCATTCACCGTTAATATATTGGTATTAAGGAATGTTAAGACTATTTTTTTTTAGATCTGTAAACATTCAGATCAGGATCCGCTGAAAACACAACACTTTTTTCCTATTTCTGCTCATTTTAATTGAAATACATTCCATCCACACCGTCTCTCTCCTCTATTTTGTTTTTAAAAGACTGAATTTCACGTTTTAACATCCTCTCCTGTAAGTCGACACCTTCTCCCTGCCCTCACGTTGAACTTTTGGGTCCGTTTTCATTTTTTCCTTCTCTAATGAGCTTGATGACACAACCTGGCTTAATTTTTTTCTACAATGAAATTGTCATTTTTAATGTTAAGAATCTCGTTTTAATTGCTCTTTGTAGGAAATTCTGAAAAACAAGGTCTTTTAATTTATTTGAAAATGCCAATAGTGCACTTTATTTTGTTTAATATTGTAATTTTGTGTAATATTTGTTGGTGATTTTTGCTTTTTTTCCGCAAACATGATTGATTGTTATTAATAACTGAAACTTTCTGTTGAATCAGAAATTCAAACATGTATATTTAATAATGCAGCTATAAATGAATGTTCATGTTCCACTAAAACATTTGACCCGTTGGGCACTTTCTCACTATAAAAAAAGATTTGTGACAGAAAATCTGTTGTTTGACTCCATGAAATCATTCAGTCACTGATTAGTGAATTTACCCTACATTTAAAGGTGCAAGATGTAAGAGTGACATCCTGTGGCCAAATACGGGTACTGCAGTCCAAACCAGTGAGCTCTGAACAGCTGCTGCCGTTTACGGATCAGCACCAGAAGAGATGAGCAAAGATGGGTCATAGACAGTAAGTTCATAAATAGATAACTCCATTTCACTGTGAAATCAAGTTGTTGATTTAGAGCTGACTGTCTTTTTTTTAAATTCACTGTTAGCATTGTTAGCTCAAGGTTAGCTTCTATTAGGGGCGTTTCCAGTAACTTAGAACATTGGGGCTGAGCCCAGACAATCACAGAGGACTTTGGGGGAACCTACAGATTAAAAAAAGGCTTTTTGAAGCGTTTGATGACGAATACTGAACTACATACTTGAGCATGAATTGATTTTCACACTTCATTGTGACAATGTAAACAAAATCTCTAAAATGAGTATTAATAATATGAAAGACAAGATGATGAAATTAGTAACAATGACAATTTCTTTAGAAATTTTTCTTTCCTTTACAAGCACAAATGCTAGTTGTGTCAAGTTGCACGGTGGACCTCTGCTGCTCTCTTTCCGTAATCGGAAGGTTGCAGGTTCGAGCCCCGCTCAGTCTGTCGCTGTCGTTGTGTCCTTGGGCAAGACACTTAACCCACGTTGCCTGCTGGTGGTGGTCGGAGGGACCAGTGGCGCCAGTGCTCGGCAGCCTCGCCTCTGTCAGTGCGCCCCAGGGCAGCTGTGGCTACATCGTAGCTCATCCCCACCAGTGTGTGAATGTGTGTGTGAATGGGTGAATGACTGGTTGTGTTGTAAAGCGCCTTGGGGGGTTCCAGGACTCTAGAAGGTGCCATATCAAATACAGGCCATTCACCATTTACCATTTCCTCTCCATCATCTGCTCACTCCTTCTTGCTTTTCCTGATGTCGCCTCTAGTTTCCCTCTGCCACCTGCTATTTTCCTGTCTAACTTTTCTTTCTTCCTGTCCTCTAATCCTCATCTCCCTCCCTCTTTTATTCAACATCCTATTTTCTCTTCCTCCACATCTACTGATTTTTTTCTTAGAAGTTGGAAGTTAGACTGAAACGTCTTGCTTTTACCTCTGCAAATCTATGACCTCTTCGAGGTCAACCTTAGCCAGCATCTCTTTCTTTTTTGACGTTAGAGCCAAATCTCTTTACCGCTCCTGACCCGTTGTATTCCTCGGCCATGCGTGCAGTCGGTGAAGGGCACCGAAAGACCTTCCACGACTGCAGCTTGTAACTGGGATCGTCAAGGAAGCTTGGACCGTTAAAAACCTAAGGTGGGGAGAGTATCTTTTTGATTCCTTGTTTGTCTCGGTTTGCCGTACAATCTACAAACAAAGCAGAATGCTGCACTGGTAGTTATATTTCAGCCACTAAAATGCTGTTGGTTGATATTTTCCTTTTTGCTCGCCCAACATTCTTGACGGAAAGCAATGATGATTCATTTGCAGTCCCCCGTGTCTGCAGGCCCCAAATTACTGATTTCGCTTGTCTCTTGCATATGATGGTCTTCCTCAGCATTATTGAGACATTAAAGTGTTTTGTGATTCTTTCACTGTAAAAGTGTTACTTACTGCACCTTTAAAGACCAAGTTCACTTGTTTTATGCAAAGTATTTGCAGTGAAATTATTGTCTTGTGGGTCGATCACTGTAGGGAAAAATCTCTCGACTCCAGTCTTAGGCCCTGTCCACACGTAGCCAGGGATCTGCCAAATCGTAGATATTTCTCTACGTTTTGGCCTGTCATCCACACGAAAACGGAGTTTTTTTCACACGAAAACGGATCTTTTTAAAAAGTCCGGCCAAAGTGAAGATCTGCGTTTTCTCCGTTTTGGGTGTCTGCGTGTGGACGGACAAAACCGGAGTTTTAAGATCCGCAACGTCACTTTCCGCGACAAAAAAAATGCTGACATCACGTGTGCGACCTGTGTTTACACTAGCCGACAGCATGGATGCCCTCAGAGCTGCGCTCGCTTTATCAATTGTCCAAGCGCTTTTTGCTTGTTTGTTTTTGCAAGTGGAATTACTGCTCCTTGCGGAAGACCACAGACGAAGGACGAGGTTAAGAACGGGGGAAGTACTGCCGCCTACAGGTCTAGCATGTCCTTAACAACGTATTTATCCGGGTACGTGTGGACAGAGTTTTTTTTAAACGAGGTGGTGTGGATGCAAGTTTTGGGAGGGGCGGATATTCGTTTAAAAAAAAAACGGCTACGTGTGGACTAGGCGTCTGGAACAAGAATTTAGCAAGCTGAGAGGTGAGCGTTAGACGGCAGGATTTGGAGTCTAATTTCCAGATTTTTAGACATCTTTCCTCTGATTGTCTAACAGCAACGTGACTCTACCGCTGACTTTGTTTGCTCTGCAACGTTTATGTTTTCTCTCCATAAACAACGCAAGTCTGGAGGAGTTCTGCCATGTTGTAAATTTGCTAACAGTTAGCTTCTGCTATCCGAGTTGTGCTCCCCTCTTTCCTAGAAGCTAAACCAACAACAGCCTCCCCCATTACAAGCCAAGATGGTTGAGTCTATTACCGTTCATTTTTCAACGTGACTTAAATCTGTCAGGCTTTTCTAATCCAAGCGTTTCCCCATCCATTTTCTATCGACGGCTAATGCTGGAAATAGAGGGTAAGGACTACATTTGTGCGACATGTTAAATTAACAAAATTTATAGAGAAAACCTCATTAATTCAATCAAATGAAGAACTGGAAAACAAAATCTGGCCAGACTGACGGAAAGCTTTTCTCCACAAATAATAAACATTTTAGTCCAGTTGAGCTTAAACAAGCAACACAAAAAGACAAAGTGTCAGAGTGTCCTTCAGACTGCATTAATCAACATAAACTTTGGGGAAAACTGACCTAACAGGAGTGGGAAGTGATCATCCTTACTCACCAGAGTTAACTGTTGGTCTGCTTGCTTTTTGCAAACAACAGACGATCTTCTCGTTGATCAGTGTGCTGCAGACACACTCCAGATATTTTAATAAGATGGGCAAATGTATGAGTGTGATGTTTTACATCAGCTGGGATCCGCAGGCTGTTCACTGACAAACAGCAGAAAATACCTGCTGCCGCTTTGACGCATCTGCCGTCACCTGGCGCTGAAAAGGACACGATGCAATCTGTCTGGAAAGATGCCAGAACCTAACCAGATCTGATTGCAGCAGCTGATAAATGTCTCAGAGCCTGGGCCTCCTCCGCTCGGTAGCGGAGAGGAAGTAGGAGTGAAATGTCATCTGGGGGGGAAAACAGGATCTCCCGAGGTGTGTTAGGAGACCTCTGACTCACATCAGCGTGAAGAGCTCAGCGTTTTCCATGAGGTGTCCCTGAAGTGGTCTAAATGTCCTCAAGAGCATCAAATCCTCACCTGATGATGACTATTACCATGTTTTCACACAGTTATGTTAAAGAATGTGTGTGAAATATATAATTTAAATCTGAAAGATGAAAATCTCATCAGATTTTGATCTGACTGATCCACAGATACCAATTTTTTTTATTATTTAATGCATTTAATTTGAAATTTTCTACATTTAATGGAAGTATAGCTCTGTGGAGGTGTATATAATTAAATGTTTTTGAGCGATCAGGAGCTCTGCTGGTTGCTGCAGACTGAGTTGCTCTGAGGTGGGGTTTAATCCCCGTCCAAATCCCCCCACAAATATACAGCGTGTAGCTTGTTTTAAAGGCTTTAAGCATTAAAACTTACATCAGCAAGTTTCCATGACACAGACGTCTAATTGGTAACTTTGAACCCCGCTGTTGTGTAATGACTAAACTAAATAGGAAGAAGCTAGCCACATCAGGCCATCTGAATGACGGGTTTTAAATAAACATCCTTCAAAATATTTCTAAAACCTTTCTGCCGGAAGTAACAGTGTTATTGCAGGATCTTGTTGCTGGGAAGTGTTTACACAGTCAACGACAGCATCCAGTAGCAATCAACAGACCAGCTCAGTGGCGTAGAAGAAGAAGAAGAAGAAGAAAATATAATTTCTATAGCGCCTCTCAAGATAAAAATCACGAGGCGCTTCACAAAAACAAAAACAAAAAATAAAAAAAATTGTAAAAATATAAAAAAGCATTTTGAAAATGTTTAAAATATATTTAAAATGAGCAAAAATAAGCTATTGGGATTTAAAAGAAAAAATGTTAAGAAAGAGAGAGAGTGAACAGGAAAGAGGGAAATCAGTGGATCCTGAGGAAGGTGGAATAGGTGGGGAGAGCAGAATAAAGAGAGAGAGGTGAAGAAGGTCATACAAAAGCCAGCTTGAACAAGTGAGTCTTCAGCTGCTTTTTAAAGGAGACCACTGAGTCCACTGATCTCAGGCTCAGGGGGAGAGAGGTCCAGAGTCTGGGGGCCACAGCAGCAAATGATCTGTCACCTTTGACCTTTAGCCTGGTGCTGCACAACCAGTAGGCTTTGATCACTGGACCTCAGGGACCTGCTGGGGGTGTAGGGACAAAGATGATCACCAATGTAAGATGGTGCTTGTCCATGTAAGGCCCTATAGACCAGAACCAGGATCTTGAAATGAACCCTGGAGTTGACTGGGAGCCAGTGAAGCTGGAGGTACAGTATGAGTCCACAGTGAGACTGGGAGATAAAGGATTAATACCCATGGTCCGGTCATACCAGACTTTAAAAATGCGATCCAACACCTTCCTGCTTGACACTCAGCATTAAGGCGTTCGATTGGAGGGTTAAACCACCAAAAAGGTTCCTGAGCATGGCCGTGTCTGCAGCTCACCGCTCCCCCAGGGGATGGGTCGAATGCAGAGATGAATTTCACTCACCAGTGTGACAGCTAACGGGACTTTAACTTTTAATGTGTGCATCTGGTGTGTGTGTGTGTGTGTGTGTGTGTGTGTGTGTGTGTGTCCCTTCCATCAGCAAAATCAAGTACTTTATAAATCACGTTAAACCAAAAAGATTTTTAGCTTTTTTTTGTTTGTCTCACCTTTTAGAAAACAATGAGTCTTTTGAGTTTTGCCGATTCTATGTAAAATTGAAAAAAAAAAAATAATAATAATTAAATGTAAGATTGACAAATTTCAGACGAATCTGTAAAATCAAGTGTGCACATGCTAGACTTTTATTCATGTAAGACAATGAAACAACAGTAAGGCTAAAGTCTTAACACCGGTTACTGTGAATGGTGAATTAAAACATTTATTAAACTTTTATGATGTGCAGCTGTCAGGCTTTTCTGGCCCATGCAGTTCCCCGTCGAATTCTTTCATCTGAAGCTAATGCAGGAAATAGGGCTAACTCGGTGCAACCAGTGCACCATTTCCAGGAACTAGCAGTGAGCCACATCACAGCCGAGCTTCAGACGACAGATTTCGGAGTCTTATCTCCTGATATTTGGACATCTCACTTCTGATTGGATTACAGCAAAGCAACTCTACCACTGATTTACAACGATGACGTTTTATCTCCACGAATAACACAATCCTTGAGAAGTTCTCCATTGTGGTGGAGTCGCTAATGCTAACAGTTAGCTTCTACCGGTCGAGACGTTCTCTGCTGCTTCCTGGACGCTAAACCAATAACAGTCTTCCCCGTTGTGAGTCAAAAAGGGTGAGTCCATGAATGTTACGTGACAGTGTGACATAGATCAGTCAGACTGTTTTCACCATCTATGCTCTATCAGAAGCTAATGCAGAAGATGGGTGTAGGAGACTATTTTCTGCCTGCATGGAAAATTCAGAGTGGCCAAATATAGTCAGAAATAAATATTTAAAAAGGGTTTGTCATTGTTCCACAGCTTTAAACTCGGCAGAGCAAAGTAGGTTTTTGTTTTGTTTGTTTTTTTAAGCTTATAATCAAATAAATCTATGATCCTTACTCCAGAAAGAATAAGAAAAGAAAAGTGCTGACACACACTCCTAACTATGAAAAAGGAGTTGTTTTTGTCTGGTTTCAGTACAAAATGTCACATAAGCAGCTTCAGGAGACGTTTCGAGTCCACGTGGACGCTCTCCAACATGAAATCACACGTTCACGGACTGGAAGACAGCTGTGTTTCCCAGCTTGCATCGCTGCAGCTTCCAGCTTCAACAACTCACTTCTCGACAGTCTCTGCGTTGATGATTTCTTAAAAAAAAGATTAGATTTGTTTAATCGTCTGTTACACGATGAGTAAAATTTCACCCCCCCAGACTTCTGTATAATTAATCATTCATCTAAGATGATTAAATACGATGAAGCTCCACCAACACTGGACGATCTCTCTGTGGGAGTCAGATTACTCTCTAATCGATGGAATGAAGAAACAGAGTGGCATGCTTAAATCTGCAGACATTATGTCATTATTTCTTGGAAAATCCCTCCTAATTCAGAACGATTTTACCACAGCTTCGTTGGTCAAATTTTTTGTCATTTTGTACCTAAAAGAAGCTTCTTTTGCACTCAAGTTTTACCTTAAATAACTCTTAATTTTGCTTTTGACAGACTGTTTAAAGAAACAGTAAGAAAGTGGAAAATCTGATGCTTTAGTTCAAGTAATGCTCAAAGTAAAATGAACTTATCATACGCTCCTGTGATCTTTTCTTCATGTTTTTCTCTTTGCTTTGATTAAATTTAAAGTATTTGTGTTGAACATATCCCAGTAATCGTTAATTTATTGAATAGCGCTACATAAAGAGTTTCTTCAAACCCTCACTCCACTTTGACTCCACGGTGACTGAGTCACACCTGGAGGCGGATGTTTTTCCAATAAGCGACTCATCGCAAAGGGTTCAGATTCAGATGTAGGACACTTGTGCAGAAATTTACTTGCAAGTGCAACGTTTAAATGTTTAGTGCTTTTACTGTTGTTGCTGAAAATGTCATTTTCCTGTTGACTTTTCTTGTATTGCAATATTTTTGTCTCTGCATGGGAACCTCTGCAGAGCAGCAGTCAGCAGCAGGATGATTTACTGGAGGGCTTGATTAGGATACCAAGATAAAGCAACAGGAGCTATGATAAATCAGCTGAAATTAATGAGCTGACAAAGGCAAAGATAAATCTGCAGTAAAGTTGACCTTTCCTTTTATCTGCTCTGTAAATGACCCTGAAAGTAGTGACTTCTATGCATGCTATTTATCATACGTTTGTGTATTTTTAACAGATATTTAGTTTTATCTTGTGGAGTTTTGCTCACTGACCTTATTTCCACTGCTGTTGGGTTTACGGGCCGCCTGGTGAAACAGGTACCGTCACCGTTGGCGCTATCGCTGTTATATCTATGCAGAAGAACCTCTCCGTGCAGTTCTCAGATGGTTCGAATCCACTGGCTTAGCTCATCCCCAATAAACATAAACGGGCAAAGCTCAGGGGTCATAATCATGTGTAATTCTCCCGAGAGGGTTTTGCATATATTTGTCAGGAGTGTTTATATCACATTTAAATTTTGTGAGCAGTTGCAAATTCAAGTGGGCTTTTCTGACGCAGAATACCTCCGGCTGCAGTAGAGCCCAACTCCAACCCTGCACTGCAGACATTATGAGCAGAACAAATGCAGATGTGAAGAAAAATAACTTGTTTTGCATCTGGTTGTGCTTTCTTTTTTTTTTTGTTTAATTGAATGATCCTGTGAAGAAGAAGTAGCTGCAAAACAAAGATGCATTTATTTTGGGAAAATAGCACAATTGTTCATTTTTCCCTTCACATTGTAAACATGGAAATTTGTACATATATATATATATATATATATATATATATATATATATATATATATATATATATTACTGTATGTTACTGTTTTTTTTTTGTGCCCCAATCTTTTAGTTGTTGTTTATCAGGCAGACACCTTGCCCACTTTAAGACTAGGCTTAAAACATTTTTATTTGATAGGGCCTATGGTTAAAATCTGATGTTAGCCTAGATCTGGACAAGTGGGGGAGTAGAGGGAGGTGGAGTGTACAGTCGGTAAAGACGGCTCTCCCTTGCCCTGCCTCCAACATGCCTCCATCTAAAATTTTGGCTAGGTTATCCAGAGTTATGTCTGTAGTTTTGCTGCTATAGGCTTAGACTGCTGGAGGACACACTGACCACTTTCCACACTCGACTACTTTCTTCTACAATCTGCTCTTTAACTGTATTATTTCCTGAAACACACCGCCCGGGCAACAAAGGAGTGGCTCCGTAAGAAGTCCTGGAGTGGCCTAGCCAGTCTCCAGACCTCAACCCCGTAGAAAATCTGTGGAGGGAGTTGAAAGTCCGTGTTGCTCGTCGACAGCCCAAAAACATCACTGCTCTCGGCCTGACAGATCTATGTCACATTGTCACTTAACATTAATGGACTCACCCTTCTTGACTCACGACGGGGAAAGCTGTTGTTGTTGGCCAGGAAACAGCTGAGAACGCCTCTGCTAGTGGAAGATAACCTTTAGCATTAGCAACTCCACCACACGGCAGAAGTCTTGTGTTATTTGTGGAGATAATATATAATTTTAATCAATTTTGCAGTTTTTAAGTGGTGAAACATCTAAAACTGGCACTCGTGATGTTAACACATCCCTGCTAATGCTACAAAGGGCTAAAACAATAGTTCTATGACGCATGAGGATGCTTGAACGCTCTGATACACTTAGCTACAACACAAAAGATAAACCACTTTTCTTTTATCTCCCTTTTCTTCTATCAGTAGCTTAAAGTGTACAGAGTGAAATTACTTCAGTGCAGATCAAGTTAGCATTCAAGCTAGGTTGGTGTGCTAAGCTGTGGATACTCAAATCTGTTGGTCAACAGTCTAGACCAGCGTAAACAATTCGCTTTGCTGAAGAAGCGGGGAGGACTTAGGGGAAAGATGAATCATGAAAGAACTACTTTATATCAGAACAATGTCAGAAGGTAAAAATTTAAATATTTTCAAGTAATTTTAGAAATTTTTAACTTTGTACCACAGCTTTAATGTTATATTCTCCTCTACGGGTCACATTTACATCCTCACGCTCATTGGTTGCTGTTTTTTTAGCAAGACTATTCATGGCCTCTTTGGTTGTGGCATAATTCCCAGCCCTTCACACATCTATAGGGAACAAAGTGTCATACCCTCTCAGAAGGCTCAGTGCTCACCTCCCACTACAACCTGAACCTCTTGTCACAACATAACCTGACCACAGTCGTGGCCTCCGAGGCTCTCAGATGAAGAACACAACGGTTATTGTGCTTCTCTCACATCCCACTGTGTCCCATTTTGTTTCCGTTGGTGCTTCCTGCGTGAACTGTCAGACCCTCCAGTGTGTTTGTTTTGAAAGTCTTTGCCGAGTGTCTCCTGTGTCAAAGCTGTGTTATCACAGAGCTCCGTCTGGACAGGCTGGGAAATAAACATTTGCTCTTTGGGAAAAGCAATTAGGCTCCTAATCTAGAGGCTATGAAAGTCATCATCACACATGAGGCATCTCCCCCTCCCTCTGGAGTTTACAACAACTCTTTATGTTTACATTCAAAAACAAAATTCACCATCATTTCAAACTGCTGATAGCGGATGTTATGGGTGTGTTGATGGCTTAACTGTTTGCTCTTTATCTTATTCTAAACACATCATGAATCAGAAAGGATTGTAGCTCATCCCAAGCAGTGAACGTGCTGAAGAACCTGGTCAAGAATCACGCTGGCTAAGAGGCGCCCTACCTGCTTCATAAAGCCTTTGACATTGTTGACCATCACCTGCTACTGGAGAGGCTGAGGGACTGGGTAGGCCTATCAGGAACTGCTCTGGTGTGGTTCTTCTCTTATCTTTCTGAGAGCTCCTTTTCTGTGGCCGTCTCCAAGTTTAGGTCCTCCACCACCTCCCTTACCCATGGTGTCCCACAAGGTTCTGTGCTGGGGCCTTTGCTCTTCCCCCTCTATCTGCTTCCTCTTCAGCACATCCTGAGCTCCTTC